CCAAATTACGTTTGGAGGTTATTTAATACTTCTGAACATAAAATGTCACAATGGGGAGAATAAATTCGAATATAATCAGATACGGTGTGCAAGAGTACAGCTTTGTTGAATTACACGACAGATGTTTAAATAAGATTGAAGCCAATTGATTAATCTTATTTAAACATCTACCCATTTATCTTCAAAATATGTTTAACCTATTTGATGGATCTTATTGGGTTATTTAACGCATCTAAATATCACATTATACTAAACGCCTGCCCTGCATTGTATTTGGTTAAATCGATTGGACAGGAAATCGGCACAATTGAAATGTTTTTCATTTCTAACCTAAAGGTTATTTCTATGTTTTATGTGGGATAAACTTAAATAAAACATGAATTTTTAATAGCTTAAAACCGTGAGATAAATAATATTTGCTTCAATATAAAATTAAAATTTTGTATTTCATGGATGCACCCGAAGTGATTCCATCACTCAAAGGCCTGTACAAAATCGACGATTTTAGTTAGTTAAAATTTGGTTCAGATCTCCACAAATATTTAAAAATAAATTATCTCAACAAATACTTAAATAACTCAACAAATCTCAACAAATATTTAAAACAAATTTTAAATTTTAAAACTCGCTATAATAACTGCTTTAAATTGCTTGTTAAATGCTAGAATTTTTACTTTAAAACCACATTGTATTTCCTTAAAAAAAAAATTTATTTCGTTAAAATATATGTTCAAATTATATGCTGAAAAAGTTAAAGGATACAAGGACGCATACATATTTAAACAAATCTTAAAATAATAAATTAATATTTATAACAAACAAGGAAGAAAAAACTAATAAAAGAAAATATATATATATACATAATTAAACATGTTTCAGAGTGCCATGAAATAAATCAAAATTCTGAAAACGATTCTTTTTCATATAAGTAATGAACTGTAAAAATTATTTTTCCCATGGAGATTTAATAAAGAAATGGCTGCTGTACAATTTTTCTTCCTTTTGCAGCCCTCCTTTTTGAGTGATGTGCAGACGATTTTTGAATAAGGACGAACAACAAATTATTTTTCGATTTCACATTCGAATTGCTAAAAAAAAAATTTTCATGCTGATTTTTTACGTTTCTCTTAAACGAATAAATAGCTTTTCTCCTTTAAATTTTGCTATTTAATACAGATTTTATTTGATTACTTATTGCACGCAAAAAATGTGTAAATATTTTAATTTGAACTACTTCCGAATTTATTTTCAGATTTTATGAAAATGGTCAACGGGATAATACGCAAGTCCCAAAAAAATCACCTATTATTGAAACCAGTAGTGCTTGCTTAATTCTCGTACAGGTACGTAATATAGTATACTGATATACAGTGGTGTACGCAGAATTTTTTCAAGGGGGGTGTTCATAATTTTCTGAAACTACTAAAAGAAATTCGAGTCTGTAATAAAGCACTATTATTTCCCTAATTTAGACAGCTACACAATTTTGACTTTTTATTTAGACAACATTGTTTAGTTAAATTTTGATTTGATTTTTTAAGTTTAAGAACATAATGTAATATCTTCTATAAAAAGTCCAATGTCATATGGGTGGAAAGTAACACTTTGAGGGCCACTTTCACATTCATCAGATTTTGTTATGCTAGAAACGTTTTCTTCAACGGAAGTATCACATTTCTGTACAACAGAAAAACTTACATTGGTACTAGATTCTGCGACCTCACTAATTTTAGGTCGTGATTTTTTCTCAGAATAATTAAAAATTGTTATCTCCAATGGTATTGTTACAGATTTCTTCACTAGTCGAAATAGTGGCGACGACGGGTTCGGCGATTGAATGAACTTCTTGTTGAAACAAATCAAAACAGATTTAGCGACAAGCTCCGAAAGACAAGCGGCAGAGATAATTCTTAGTCTGACTAACTCCACTGTACACCGTTCCCCCTTTTATATAATTTTTCACTTCATCTCCAAAATTCTCGAATTGTCTCAAAGAAGACAGAACGTCTAGGATTCCAGAATCATCGCGTAAAGACCTCGCGAATGACAGCCAGTCTCGAAAACTATACTGGCAGGACAGAAAGGAACCAGTCCGTAACAGTATCACATGAATTTGGGTTCAAAAGTACAACCCTATTAAAGTAAATGTTTTTTTCAGTATTCTGAGAAATACCGTGAGAAAAAAAAAGTAGGCATAAGGCAAATAAAAATATATAGTCTTAAAAAATAATAGCTCGCATAATTTCTACTAAAATTTTGATTTTTGCCATTTTGTCTGAGCTCAAGGGGGGTGTTTAAACCCCTAAACCCCTCCCTTGCGTACGCCACTGCTGATATAGGTATTGTGGTAATTAATTTTTGACGTCCCCTCGAAACGAAATCGTACCCTAAAATCCATTAATAATTCATTCACATTTTACGAGACCAAACAATACAGCATTGGAACAACTTCTATTAAAAAGTTAAATTGAATTGGAAATTTGTAATAGCGTATAATGAATATACAGAGTGTTCCATAATAATGGCATTAATATAAATTTTCAAAATAAAAAAAATAAAGACACGTTCGGAGTGGTATACATTTTACATAAATTCATTAATATTCAAAACAAAAATTTAGTAGAAATCCGTTAAATCACTAGTAAGGAAGTCGTGATTAAATATATATATATGAAACCAATTTGAATTTGATTGCATGCTGAAACTGGGGATGCTGCTGTTACTAATAATCACCTTTAAATTAATCCTACGTCAATCAAGCAGGACCTGATGTTTTAAGTCCTGCAGTCCACTGTAGTAATTCGCTAGATTATTTAAATATTAATATCCGATTCATAATGTAGTTACTTTTTCTTAACTTTGCTTTTAGCAAGAATTCTAAAAATATATAACAAGGGCAGTTAATGAGGAACACACTGTGTAGATACTAGATATAATAGTATAAATTTAAGAGTTCTTTTGGTGCACTTTCCAATTTAGTGCTTTTTTTCTGCTTGAGGTTCTTTTTAATCGTAAAATAAAAAAACAAAATCATTTGTCACGAAATGAAAGAAAATACAGAAAAGAGATTATGCGTAAAGAAATCGCAAAAATGTTTCTTTTACTATTTCAGTCCCTGATTTGATATAGTGGTGACATCTAGTGGTAAATGCCATAAATTACTCTCAATCTAGAAAAAGTAATTTAATAACAAATTAGAAAAATTCTTAAGTAAGAATAAGCTAGAAAGATGAAATTGAAAAGACAAAAAAAATTTTTTAATAAGGGCATTAGCCATATCTTTAAAAATATTTTGCATCTTCAGCCTATTAAAAATTTCCCATGTATTATTTAATTATGACTTCATAAAGTCTCAATGAAAGGCAGAGCAATAAGAAAAAAAAGCACTTAATGAAATTTTTCTCTAAAGACATGCCAAAACCAGGATTCAGAGAAGGGAAGTTTTTGTGTCTGATCTCTAAACTTAAAATATCATCTGCACTAAGTAGATAGCATATTTGGGGTCACCTCTTAAAACGATTCAGTTTTAGTGCGTAAAGATACAATCACTACATCAAAAGTTACATAAGTTGTTACGTTTCGTTTTTATACATGATACTTGCTAAATTTAATAAGTTTGATGCTTCCAAATTTGTTATAAGCATATAGAATTTCTATAAAATTATTATCTGAAGCAAGCATGTGTTATTCTGATCTATAATTTTTGTTAAGTTGATGAGAAGTGGAATTAATTTTATTCTGAATTTTAGTTTAGCAATTTTATTCAAATTTTAATATTCTTGTAGTTGAATTAAAGGGATGAACATAATTCAATAAACAAAAAACATTTGAGATTACACTTGCTACAAAAACTTAAAAATTACTCTTGTTACAAAATTAAATTGAGAATAACAGTAGATAAATTTTATGAATCAGTTTCAAATCTTTGGCCATTGTATAAATACAGACAAGCAACGCATGCACATTGATATTTTTTGTTTTAGATAAATATATTTCTAATTTATGATCTATTATATATTTCTAATTTAAGAGTATCTGGTTACTCTTGTTACATTTCAATAAACAATTAAATTGACTTTATCATAGTAGTAAGTACACTGTTTTAATCATTTTTTTAATATTAACTGACAAAATAATACTTACAAATACTGTAAAAAATAATACTTTAACAAAATTACTATAGGAATTGGTATTTGAAAATTAGCATTAAAAAAATTATAGAGAAATATGAAGAGTTCTTCCAATTCAGTTTTATTTCTATTTTTAACTACAAAATGATACAGAATATGTCAATTTAATTTGAAGAAACAAATTCATTCACTTTCTGAGGAATTGTCCAAAAGTATCACCAACCGAATGTGGATCTATTTAATAATAATAGAATCAATAAAAGAGTATTTAATTTGTTTTTAGTACATCAGGCAATATTTAATGAAATCCATAAATGTAGTAATATCTTATATGCACAGAAATTATCTCGTTATTATTTTCTGTTTTAATTCATATTTCTCTTCACTATCATATCATCTACTGCTATATCATTATCTATTTTAACAAGATAGCTCATCTTAGAGAAATGCTCAATGTGCTCTATTGTTGTATTAGTGAATATGGTTATGGATTGCAATTGATTGTTATGCTTTAAAGTACCTAAAATAAACAAGTTTCAAAGGAATTTGCATTTTGTTTCAATTTTATTGCTGTAGGGGAACTTTAAGTGCAGAAGGTGGCACAAAGGCACATCATTGATGCAACGAAAGTGTTAAGCGGTACAGCATCGTGAACAAAGTATGTCTGGTGACATAATATAATTCAAAAGCGTCTCGATCTGACATTTCACTACCCAGAAACTAGACCAAAAGCGTTACGAACTGAGTATGTCCGGTCAGCCTTAATTAAATTAAGTCTGCACACACAAAGAGTTTTTTGAGAGTACAGAGAACAGTGGATAAATTCTAAATGAACGAAACAAAAGGGAAATGAAATAACCAAGCTTAAAGTAGGGTTTATGTACAGATATTTATTAGTATTAATAATTGCAACACTAACTAACACTTCACAGTAATAAAAGATTTGTATTCTAAGCTTCGTCTGGGCGGCCAGGATCATCATACAATTTGATACCCCAGTGCAAATTGGGTCGGTTTTGAGTTATCCATTCTGGAGCTCTATTAAGCATTGGGATCTTATTCACCTCAAAGAATTTGATGTATCCAGCTAGTATTGCAAAGAAGAGACCCCAAGTGTGGCCTATCCTAACACTATTATCTGAAAAATAACATATAAATTAAGTAAATTAAAGAAAATACAATGGTTTATACAGTAAAATGCTAGTTATCTGGATCGGTCTGATACACACTTAACAAAAATCCAATTTTAAAAAACAACTACAGCAAAATTTTTTAGGTAACTTAATTTCACACTTTTCCCAAACTTAGGACTAAATTATAGTAGAGTAGTGCATATTCTAGCATAATACAATTGTGAATGGTGTATTTAGAAATTCATGCTTTTTTTAATTGCAAAATTGATACAAAGCTTAAAATAGAATATATATATATAGATAAATTCTACTTCATATAAATTATACATATACACACACAGTCATTCTGTCCAATGGCATTTCTCAATATAAAAATACACAGTTGATATGTCGGGGGCAATATTCAAGTGCTACGTCTTTTACATTTTCACCTTTTTTAATCTTTTACCAGTCTTATTTTTTCGATGTCATAATCCGAATTTCCTCTATTTCTGCGTGATATTAAAAAAAATTTCAACAACAAAATGAAACATAAGAGAATTTCCTTAAAAATTTCTTTTGATGTAAGAATAGCAAGACTAATTTTTAAGCACTACCCTTTGTAACACTTACAAACCTAATTAGGAAAATAGTGTGTGCACTCTAGCACAAGTTGCAGAAAAAAGAACAGCAAGCAAATTAACTCCTCTCTAATTCTCTTTCCAAAGATGCCAAGGGATTAAAGAAATAATTTTTCAACCCTCTTTAGAATCTGAAGATAAAGATGAACCTGTACGAGGGAAAAAAATGTAGAAAAAATCATGTAAAGAATTCACAACACAGATAATACTTATTTAGTAAAATCTTATTTTATATGCTAGCTTATTTTGTATTATCTTATTAACGAAAATGGAAGAGCCAGGATAGCCTGGTTGGTAGAACCTTAAACTCGTGCTTCTGAGAACAGGAATTCGAATCCAGCCGATCGAAGAATTACCGTGTATTTAACGATGATTGGTGCACCCTGAATCGGTCGGAATCACTAAGTCCTCCAAGTATCCATAACAATACCTCTGGATACTGATCACTCTCTGGTTCACGCCAAAATTACAATCTGCAGATGGATGAAAGGTGTGTGAATGAGTTCTCCCTGTGAAATGGGTTGCAGCTTATGTGTGTGGCAAAATCCTGTTCTTGGTGCCACTGCAAAACAAGAAGTGCACCTTCTGCCGTAAAAATTCGCTTGATTTCAAGCAGGCTTGTTGATATTGGTAAGTGCCATATGTAACAAAAACATAAAAACGGAAGAAAAAAATTTATGAAACTTGATAATAATGAAAGTTATAATTAAAGAACAAAAAATATAATGAAGAAAAAAAACTACAATTCTATAATTACACTGAAATAAAGATTCTATCTCTAAAGACATGACAAAACCTAGCAATTGTAAATAGAATAGCAAATTTTGTTTTTAAACCCCTTCTCTGTCAGATTTTTTTTTTTTTTTTACGAATTTCCAACCAATAAAAAGCATTATTTTTATTGCTGAAAATTAATATATGTTCTATCCTAAATTCGAAAATGCTAAATAATTTTGTCAGCAAGCAGTCTTTTGCTTGATCTATTGGTGGTGAAATATGTGATATCCCGTCCACTGATCTCCAGTTTTCCCTGCAATGCACCCAAGATTTATCTTATAAAAATATGCTGTAATAACATATTTTTTTTAACTCTATTGTTTTAAGGTGTTTAAGATGAATATCTGCATAAAATAATAATTGAAATTAAGTAAAAAATATTTTATAAAATAATTTTCTATCCTTACCGTTAAAACAGCTTTATGATCAATCTAGGGCATTAAAGCATAAGATATAACATTTATCACAAAACTTAAATAATTTATTACAGATTACATGCAATGGTAAGACTAATGAAAGAATATATATAATGAATAATGAAAGAATCATTTCGTACTTTCTGTAACAAGATTACAGAAAGTACAAAATGATTTTGATTTCAATTCAAGGTAGGAAATTACCCTGTGAAAATTGTGAAGAAAGTGGGACTAGTTGTGCCCTTTCTTAGCATTATTCAGAAATACAAAAATTAACTGCGGGATTTAAATAGATACGTAAGTAATGATGTATTCAATTTCAATGATGCAATTCTTCTCTTGGTCGCATGGCCGACCATACAGGTATAAAAACAAAAAACATATGAGATGTGACACAGACAGAGAAGGGCTTAAAATATATATAAGACCAATACAAATAAATATTCATTAGATTTTCAAGAGAAGGATATTATAAATTGTATGAAAACAAAAAGAATTCAATGGTTGACACATAGCATCATAGATCTGGTAACAGTTTTAAAAAAGACATATGTAATGGACAATTAAAACTGAAAAGACCGAGAAAGGAATATTTTGAATTGAATTGAATGTAGGGTTTAATGGTACAAGGTCCACAAAAGCCGAGAAAGGAATATATAACAGGTTAAGAGAGATCTCATGATCTCAAGTCCATAGACATTTGAAAACAAAAATACCAGACAGATGGCTTTGAAAGAGAACTGTGAAGGAAGTATTGAAGTTACGATAAAAAAACAGCATCCATTCAATATATTACATTCTAAGTTTTCTAATTAAATTTCCTTGAATAATTAAAAAAAGTTTTAAAGTATTCCCAAATTACCAAATTATTATAATTAAAATCAACCGATTAAATTTAAACACTAAATTAGACAATTTAGATATTTCAGCAGGGATGCACAACCTATGGCTTATGCAAAAAGTATCACCCAAGGTCTTTTAACTTAACCCCTGAACTGTCTAAAATTTTGTTAAAAATCTAAAAGAAAAAAAGCAACAATATTTTTTTCACTTGTGCTTAGTAACAGAAAGTTACTGATTTAGTCCATAACTTTTCTTAAAGTATCAAAATGTAGCAATTTTATTATGAAAGATCCATTTATTTATGCAATGGGTTCAGAGTTTGCAGTGAAATGTAATTATTCATTAATTTATATAAATAAACTGAAAGAGGAAAAAAAAGTAGATTAGATAAAAAAACTAATTATTTGAAAATTCTAGCAAATCATCAAATTACTATGATACTGCATTACTAACAGTAACAAATTTTGTTTTCTGAATAATAGTGAACGATATCTTTTAGGATAAATGTAAATTTAAGTTACCTTTTCAGGTGAATGCCTAGAAATTTATCATAATTTGCTTTGTAAACTAACTAATAAGTATATTCATTTAAATTTTTTATATAAATAATTTTTATTATAAGAAAAAGTTTAACTACACATTTTTAATTCATACAAAACACTACTATCACCACTATCTGTAAAATGGCTAATGTCCGCAAAAACTACAACAGCATTTTGAAGTTTTTGCGGCCAAAAATGATTGCGCATTCCTGTTTCACATAAAAACTTTATGGAAAGTAACTTTCAAAATAACTTTATTGTGCATATTAAAAAAATTTTTATTTTATGTATATGCTTAAAATTTGTATTTGCTTATAAATTTACTTAAAAATTTATGTTCATTAGCAATAAAAATCACAAATTTGAAAAATCTTAATTAGTTTATTTAGTTTTTCTGTTTCTCAACATTCTTTTACACAGCTGTTGTAAGGCTAGGGAACAAGTGTCTCAACTGCTCACGGCCTCACATTTCTAGAACTCTAGGCTAGTGGTTCCTTATTTTTTCCCATTATGGGACCCTAAATGATTGAGCTTCTTTTGGGGGAAACACCTAACTTTATAAAAATCCTCATAATATAATCATATATATAAGATCAATCATGTTTTTTTTTTCAAGAACTGTTATAAACGATGAGAATAGTTATCAGAAAAACGTAATTCTTGTACTCGTGAATTTAATCATTTTATTTTTTAATTGAAATGCTCAATGAGAAATGTTTATAAATGCATATACTTTTCATAAACTATTCAATATATTGTTATTGAAAAAAATATACATATTAAAAATATAATATAATATACTTTAAATATAATATAATATATTAAAAATATAATATAATATACTTTAAATATAATATATTAAAAATATAATATAATATACTTTTAAAATAAAAATATAATATACTTTATTCAATTTGCATTTTACATATGTGTATAGCACATGTGTGGCTAAAGTCAAATTTTCGTCACACAAAATATTCAATGAGAAAATTGAGGTTTGTCTGCTGCAACCACCAGAGAATAGATATTTACACTTAAAAATTTACAAATGTGTGCGTAAATATTTTCGTCCAAAATGAGTGGTTTCAAAAAGTTAAATCGGAGAATTTCTTCGAGAAAATTTCTAAATTATATTCACAAAATACAAAAAAAAATGAAATAAAATAGAGCAGCATACACGATTATTTTTGTACTGAAATAAATATTTTCTTGGGTGCAAAACCTGAGAAATAAATTTCTTTGCACTGTTGGTATGTTAAATTGCACAGAAACGAAGAAATTAGGTTTTTATTAACGAGAAAAGTATTTTAAACCTGTATAGATTTTAGCACATGAACAAATATTACCAATGATTACAAGAACAAAAGAAAGGAAAAAAATTTTTTTACATGAAATAAAAACAGAAAATAACGATAATTTGTCAAATATTGCATTCTTTCATAAAAAGAAATTAATATGCTTAATTCATTAATTTAAGAAAATAGCTATTCAATCAGAAGATATTTTTTATCCAATAATAATTCATTCTAATTGGATGACAAATTAAATTTCATTCAATAAATAGACATTAAATGAAATTAATTTCATAAAAAAAAATTTTTTTTCAAGATGTCTCATGTGTGCATAGTAGAGTCACCACTACTGAAATTATTCATTTCCCATTCACTAGTAAATAAGACATGCTAACTCGATTCCATCTTGAGGTACCTTTTGATAGATGATGTCACCTTGACAGAAACACCAATAGGAATACACCTAGGATGGATGGAACAATTGACTTGCTATTTGTGACTGTGACATTGTCCTCCTCATGCTGTTGCTACTCAGTCTCAATCATACACAACGAGGACCTGTGCACACTCGACTGCTGCACCCACAGCCGTGATCTTAATACGGGTCTCACAACCAGCACTCAAAGCACAGTAACCTTAATACAGCTCTCCTGACCTCTCGCAAAACAGGAATGAGTCAACTAGCGGTATCTGTTCATCGAATTCTATCACAGATAAAATTCTGGAGGGAATGTCACGAAGAGTAGAAACCTTAACATTTATTCAATTCCTATTTACTAGTATATAAAACATGTTCACTCAATTCTATCTTGAGGTAACTTTTGATACAAGGTTGACATTATCAGCAGCACAGTACTATATTGTGTGCAATTTATAAAATGACAATAACCTACTACAGTCGAACTCGTTTATAACGAGCACAAAGGGACCGTAACATGTACTCGTTAAATCCGAGTGCTCGTAATAAACGGGTCCTTAAGGCAGGCTTGCAACCAGAAGAGGGGTGGGGGGTTGGGAGGTCAAATTATTGAGTTTACATAAAATTTAATTAATACTTACTTACTTTAATTAATTTAATTAAATACTTTTCTTAATTTAATGATAACTATCCCCCCCAACCAGCAAAAAATTTCTAGTTGCGCTACAGTCTTAAAGGAAAGAAGCAATAAACGGAAAGAAAAATAAAGGAAAAGATTCTTACCAAAACATTTATTTTTTTCATTAATCTACATATTTAAAATAGTAGTTTGTTAGCTTACTTTGAAGTTTCAGTTCGCGGTTTTTTTTTTTTT